AAAAGTTTTTTTTTTTTTTTTTTTTTTAAATCAGAGGAAAGAACAAAACAAATATGGAAGCAGACACAGGTGACTGGTAGGGAGGGGATGGGGGGAGGGGCATGTGCCCCCCCTTGAGATTGGCCCCTGACCCAGCACCACTCTGGATGAGGTAGTTTTTTTGCCATGAGGGCCAGTGGCGTGTTTGGGGGGAGGGTGGGGGACACCAAGCTGCAGCACAGAAGTATAGGAGTGGATATGGGACTTTTGGCCTACCCCCAGGCCCACCGACAAATTGTGCCCCTCCAGACTCAGGATGCGCCTATCACCTGTGGAAAAAGAGCACCTTCTTTTCCCCTCTCCCTCTTCTCCTGCACATACAAATATATTTTTGAAGTTTGACCTTCCATGGGTGCAGCGTAGCCCAGAAAAGCCATGTTCATTCTGGTCATGGGACAAATCTAAAATTGCAACCCAAACAGCAACTTCCTTATTAGTTCGGTTCAGGAACATACTCCCTACATGTACATAGACAATGCAGACTCTATGCAAACGTGCTTTGTGGCCCAGAGTCACAGCAGATGTGATTGGGTTGACAGCATTATATGGGGCCACATGAATGTACCCGGGGAAAAATGCGTCTCATTACGTTAGGTGAAGGTGTGTGTGGGGGGTATGCAGTTATGCTGTAGGTCAAGCAGGTGAGAAGTGATAATGGGGTGGACCCTCTGGGATATTTTTCTCAGAGCTGGGGCAGCAGGCAGGATGTTTTCCAGTCAAGAGAGATAAAGTGTTTATGGTAAATGCAATGGGTAGAAGCAGGACAGGAGACGGAAGTGGGAGGTAGTGGCTGGTGGCAGGAGCCACTGGGAAAGGTTAAAGCAAAATTACCAGAGGAGGCAGGTTAAGAGAGCAGATGGAAGTAGGGGGTAGCTGGAGACTGTGGGGTAGGCAGAGAGACACAAGGCAAAGAGGAGGTAGCCGGAGGCAGTAGGAGGAAAGTCACGCCAGGCGGTTGCAACTGGGGAGGGGTAGGACAACAGGGAGGGAGGTGGATGGGTTTGGTGAGGGAGAGCTAGGGAAAGCAGTTCCACGAACAGAAGGAGGGACATGGCCTGGTGACTAAACTCTCAGAAGGGGTGGAGAAAGGGAAGGGAGGGACAAGATGAGAGGGGGGGTGGGGAAAAAAACCTGCATGTCAAGTCTGAGGAAATGCTGTGAGAACTGCAGCCAGACCTAATTTTTTTTTTCTTCTCCCCTCGTGTAACTGAGAGGAAGGAAAGGAAGAAGGAGAAGTAACTTGCTCAAATGTGCCTCGTGCGGGGGCTGGGGCTTGGGGAGTTGGTGTGGAGGATCTAATTTCTACTCCAGTGGCAGCCGGAGGAGCAGCAAAGGGAGGCAGAGACCCACACCCAGACATGCCCATCTCAGCAGGCTGGTGGCTTGTTCTCCTCAGCCTTTTCACCACTGACAAACAGGTAAGGCTGGATTACTGAGCTGGTGTAGCACGGCATCAAGGTACAGAGTGAACTGTATGTGCAGGAGCTTGACTCTGTCTGCTCCAAAGAGACTGGCTTGTGGCATCTGGTGCTGGCTGTTCGCGAAGGAGGAAAGTGTAGCAGAAGTCTCCCTTGTTTTTTTTTTTCCCCTCTCAGCTTGGCTCCCTTGTTGTTTTTTTATGACTCGCCCTGTCTCTCTGACTCCTGCTTCTTTGAAAACAAACCGCCAAAAAACCCAAACCCCAAAGCATATCCAGAAGATCTGTAGGAAGGCAGCCCACTCATGCCCAGCGGAGGGTGTGAGAGACCAGAAAATATTTTCAGAAAGGTTGCTGAGAGATATATAATTTACATGTAGTTAAAGAAAAAAAATACCTCCACCCAACTAAAGGGAGCTCATTCAAAAGGAAAAGCTTAGTACTTGTCTCTAGTTTCTGTTGCACTGGGTTATGGTAACTAGACATGCAACAAACCTGGACCTGAGATGGTCATCCAGGCAGTTTCCCCCATACTGCAGGATCATTCCCCTACAATAGGTTGTCTTGTCTGGCAGAAATGCACAGTCCCCATTACTGTAGTGTCTGAGCACTTCTCTCCCTTGAAACCATTCACCCTCCCTGTACCCTTAAGAGACAGGTAGAGCTGCTAGTCCAGTTTTGCACAGAAAAATTCAGTGACTTGCCCAAGGTCTGGAAACAGATATCTGGCAGAACAGGAATTGAACCTGCACATCCTTGGACCCAGGTTAGCATGTGAGCCACTGGTGCCTTCCTCTCCGAGGGAGAGCTTTCATCACATCTGTAAGAGATCAAGCAGGACTTGAACCCATGACAACTTGCATATGGAACGTGATGCCTTTCGCTACTCAAAGTTATTGCTACAGTACTGTTTAATCAACATAGTTTTAAATATGCTCAATTCCTGGGCTTCCACTGAGAAAGTATCACACAGCCAAATACATCCGACTGTTTAGATGCCAGTGAGCTTTGCTGATACCAGAGAGATCAAAATGTTTCCCTAAATATCTTAAACTGACATAATTTAATGTTGTTATTCCTAGTTGCACCTCTGCACTGCTCTACATAATCCCTCTCCCTTCTCAGTGTTTAGATCTTCACAGTATGTTATTTGGACTTGCTGTAGCAGTCATGTAGCTAAGCTCTAACTACAGAATAACTTCCTTCAAAAGTCCATTTCTGCAGCATTGCACTCTGTTGCTCTCATCTTAAGTCCTTTTATTTGTCTATGTTGCCTTACTTTAAGCATAATGACATGCACTTGGTGTAGTGGTGATACCCAGCGTCCTGGCCCATGAAACAGGCTGCTGATGTACTAGGTGCAGCACATCCACAGAACAAAAAATGGCTTCTGCCTCAAAGAGCTGCTAGTGTAATGACTGAACACAGATCACCAAGGTAATCTGTGGCAGAGCATGAAACTGAATCCACATGTCCTCAGTCCCAGGCACTGAACAATCCTAGATACCCTTCAATCCACTCTAACATGAGATTGTTGGATATGCAGCCCAACACTTCACTGGCTTCTTTTCTTTCCCAAAACACATCTTTTTCAGGACTTCCTTCCTTGCTTTTCTGCCTTACCCTGCAGTTTGGCAAGCTGCATCTTACTCTGTTGTTTTCCAGCCATAACTTTTCACAGTCTTTTTTACGTAACTTTTCTGTCCTGACTGATCAGAGCTTTTCGCTATGTAAATCTTACTGATATTCCGTGTCCGTCTGCTCCAGATCAGGAACAAAGGCCTCTACCTCTCAGCCCCAAATTAATAAAACTTTTGGTGTTTACCTTATACTGCATAAAGTTCCTTTGTGCTATAGGTCCATCAGCCACACCATGCCATAGCCAAGGTGTTGATTATTGCTACACAAAGGGCAAAAGCTGTAATGTAGACAGGGCTTGGATTCTATAGTGCTCCATGTATTTAACATTTCCATCTGCTTTATGAAGCAGATTTTAACAGAAAAAACAATTTGATGGGTTAAAGGCTTGTTTGATACACTCCATAAATTTTTCAGTCTAGAGTGAATTACACTGTCCTGAGGGCACGGGGGAGAATGTTAACATTTTAAATTTCTGTGGTGTTTTCTTATGAATAACAGAAAGCCACTACGGACACGAATGTGTTAAGAATTTTAATCCCTTCAAATGAAGCAACATTCTTGCTTTTCACGAATCAGGGAAACGGGAACAGAGAATTTGTAATTTGACCTAGGTCACACAGAGAATGTGTGGCAGGGCTATGAGCAGAAGCCAGGCCCCTGTCTTCCAGTCTTCTGCTTCAGCCACAAGGCAGTCTCCAAGAGACTTGCTTTAGAGTAGTGTCAGAGCATACAGGATCTCAAATCCTGATGCATGATTATCTCTGTTAGTTTGTGGAATATACATACGTATTCCTTTTAATGGCTTGATAGTTAATTATAAAGAACACAAGTGCCTCATTTCAGACTGGGAGTAAAGACCCTTGACAATGGGTGCATCTACATGAGATGTTAAAAGGGCAGTAGACTAATTCTACTGTGCACTAGCAGAGCTGGCAAAAACCAGGATAATGTGCTAATGCACAGTAGAATTAGCATCACAAAAAAGTATGTACCAGCACTACTGCACAATAGTGCCAATTATGGCGCATTGAGTTAGTACCTAGAATTACAGGTACTAATCTTAATGTGCTGTAATTATGGCACATTAATAAATGTATAGACACACCCAATGCATCTTTTCCAGCTTGCAAAACAACTTCTTTAGAGTTTTTTTTACTTCTGTTGTATTGTCCACACAGTATCTGGCCCTGTAGGTAATCACATTTTGAAGACCTCAGATATCTTTAAAAATATCTTTGGTCAAAATGTAGACATCTCTCTTGGATTGCTTTGCAATAGCATTGAAGATATAAGAGCTATTTTGATATAAATTGGTTGTCAAAAATATACTTTTCAGGAAAGGTTATGGGGAAGGAATCAATAATATTTTAATTCCTTTCAGGTTTTCTCCAGAGGGTCCACAAAAAATCTGGAGCATATAATGTGGAGCATATGATGCTAAAACACTTTTTCGTTAATATGAAATGTAATTGTTGGCTATCTAGTGCGAGTATAGAGTAGTTTTCAGTTCATAATTTGAAGTGGGTTATTCATTTTGCACTTGCCTTAATGGCTGTAACCTGCCTGCTCCCAATAAAAGGTTAATCTCTCTTTCCAACACAACCAGGTAAACCACCCCTAAATTTCACAGGCTAATGAATACAAAACATTCTAGAAAATGTCAGTATGTTTCATAAATTTTAGCGATGGAAGCCAAGTTTTTGTTTGTGCTTTTTATTGTTGTTTCATGACTAGGGGTCTACCCAACTCGAGGAGGCAGCCAGCTGATTTTGCAGGCAGACTGTGAGGCCAGTGGCCATTTTGAGGTCTTATTGTGGCTGCCCGCCCCCCTGCCTTTGGCCAAGGGCCCTGGTGACCCTGCCCCTTGCCACTGATTGGTAAACAGCTCTTACAGCCAATCAGCAGTGAGGTGTCGGGTCAGCAGCCATCCTGAACTCCCCTTTGTGCTAGCAGTCCTCACCTTGCCCCCTGATAGGCTGTACGGCCCAGCTGCAGTGCTGTGAGGACTGCTGGCTCCCTCTGGGGAGCCAGATTTTATTTTCAGTAAGTTTTCTTTATTTTTTCCCCACGGATTGTGTGGACATTGCTTGCTTTCATGGGCAATGCCAGATTTCATGTTTTCCACAAAATTGCAATTTTGGTAGATTCCTATTCATGGTACATCCATTTGTAAGAAGGAAAAGTGTTAGTTGTAAGCAACAGTCATTCCAGTAAAGCCACTGCAGTGGTGCATCTACTGGTGTTGAACTAGTACTATTGTTCCCTAGATGGGAAGAGAAAAAATACTAAGTAGATACCTGTGCAAAATAGATTTTTGGTGATATAAAGCAAGGCTGAACATCCTTGTCACTTAAAAAATAGCGATGCCACCTGAATTAGTGCTTCAAAATTATTGGCAGAAGTCATGTTGGAGTCCTGTTGCTTTTCTTTGTTTGCTCCTTACAGGTTCCAGTCAGACACCAGGATCTCACTGTGCTAAATACCATATGAACACAAAACAAAAGTATAACCCGTGACTGGGGCTCTAGTTACATGAGTGCTGGCCATGCATGGGACAAATAGGTGATGACCTCTGCCCCAAAGAACTTGCAGTATGATGACTAAATGCAGAATCTCTCTGCTCCATGTGTGACACTTCTTTGAATATGCAACCCAAAACTGCATTGGCCTTTTTTTTAGACATGCATAATTTGCTGGAGACCAGGCAGATGAAAATAAGAAGGAAATAGAGACATTGGGCCATCTCACATAGTACCTAGGACAGGGCAGGCAATTATTTTGGGTGGAGGGCCGCTTACTGAGTTTTGGCAAGCCATCAAGGGCCACATGACAGGCAGCCAGGGGCAGATAAGTATTAATTTTTCTTAATTTTTTAGGGGCCCCATGGGCTGGATAGAATGGCCTGGTGGGCCAGATATGGCCCACGGGCTGCATTTTGCCCACCCCTGATCTAGGGTGATTGTTCTTTGTCTCCCTGAACTGACTTGTGGTCAGATACATGGGCCAGCATAGGATTCAGCAATGCTGTACCTCTGCTATTTCTAGTTTAATTGATATATTGATTTGTCAGGTGGAACTGGAGAAGAATCTCGGTACTACTGTTTACATTTCTGCTTAAAATGGTGTTGGCTCCATGGGAGAAATGTTTTTTCTGCAGTAGCTATTTAGAAGTGAAGCATTCAGATGGGGAGAAAAGCAAATATTTGCGTTTGATAAATACAGTATAAAAATGAGGAGCAGTTTAGATACCCTGCACTCTGGACTCTATGTAGGCTTTGCTTCCAATAATAAATTATTCTTCTAACAATACTTGGTGCTTTTATGGCTTGCCTAGGGTTGGGGAAAGTACAAAGTTCAAGG